CACATGAGCATGTAGATTACTGTATATTATATGATGTTTGTTCGTTCTTGTTGCATGACGCTGCTCGGATGGTAAAGCATTTGATTAAAAGGTTTAGATAAGTTTTTACAACAGACGTTATCGGATAATTCACCACGCAAAAATTACGTCATTATCGTGGATAATTGCAATTATTTGCTCGTCGTTACGTTAAATATAACAGGGGTGAATAATAAATTTCCGAAGTGACGTATTTTAATTTATTTTAACAACGGTTACATTTGCATTATGGCCCTGCTTAAGGTGCCGTGTTCAGGCATCAGCGACGTTCAAATGACGACTGGCTCGTATCACCGTGCGCGTATCAGCACCTACTCGCAATGGCAGTTAAAAGGATTTTCACAACAAAAGTAAAACTTGTTAAGAATATAATGAACCGATGTAGACGAGATGCTCACAAAAGGGATCAAACGTGATCTGTGGCATATGAAGAATATTCAGCAACTGGTAATGGGAAAAAGTCAGCTCGCGGATTATTCCGCGCTCGGTGATAGGCGACAGTTGTGGTTTGCGGAATATTCCGCGCTCGGTGATAGACGATAGTCGTGGTTCGCGGAATATTCCGCGCTCGGTGATAGACGACAGTCGTGGTTCGCGGAATATTCCGCGCTCGGTGATAGACGACAGTCGTGGTTCGCGGAATATTCCGCGCTCGGTGATAGGCGATAGTCGAGGCTCGCGGAATATTCCGCGCTTCGATGCAAATGGGTTAATAAATAACGCGATGCAGTTTATGTGGATTTGGTTTTATTAGAGCGAATGCGAGTGTATGAGATCGAGTGATGGCACGAATGTAGATACGTATGTTTTTGAAAATGCGAGTAGAAGATCTAGAATGCGTGGCACTGTGCAATTGTTATAGATCGGAGCCAATATGTTGCAAGGAGGTTCATTTTTGTCAGGAAAAGCGTGAAAATGAATAGTGACGAGATAATGATAGTATTATGAGAAATTTCACCACGCATACCTAATCGTTGTAATCTTTTCACGACGTGTGTATATCATAATTTGTAATAAATATATAATTATTAAACAGCAAACTCACAGTTTATATCTCGAATAAGGAGTTAAATATTTTCAAGCATATTAAACAATTCCAGTCACGTTATTTTTATTTCTATCTTTATCGCTGTCAAAGAACTTTTATTTCAGACTGTATTGTTCCCCTGAATTGTTGAATTGGGAGACTTTGAACTTTTTATTTTAAGCAGGAATTCCAATAAAATTTTATTGTAGTTAACTAGGAGTATTATACTATTTTATATTTAGAACAACCTTTAATTGCTTAATGAGTATCCGAAAATATACGGTATTATAAGATGGGACAAACGACTGAGTAGATTCTTCTGCTTTTATGGAGTATTTAAAATATTCACCTTGTAGTCAATGAAATTTTCAAATTGCAGTAGATAATATTAGCATTAGAGGTACCAAACAAACTTGGCGTAGCGTTGTTTCAAAAATTAATTTCTTTTCGTTCAGATTCGTCAGTCTTATTTATTTTTATCATAAACAAAAGAGGAAGAAAAAATGAATTAACGACACGTGGTAAATAAATTTCAATTTTCAACTAATGTGTTTAATCAGAAAAGTAGAAATCCATAAAGCAAGTTTCCGTGTTAAAAACTTCCTTTATTGTCCCCTGTGCGAATTTATAATACGGCTTTTAATATACCGTACATAGATTTACTGCCATAGAACCTAGACGTACCAACCATCAACCTGAGAAATGGCACCATAAAAGTGTCGTTATTTGAAAACATAAAGAAGGAAGCAAATTCTAATATATTTCAAAAAATTACATAATCACTAATTAATTGGTTAATGCGATTAATTATACTTTCTTGAAAATTCAGTTAAAGATGTTTACCTTTAACGCTACTATCGCTGTTAATAATATAGAAAAATGAAAAATAACATTTTCGTTAAAATTCAATAGAATTTCGAACTGAAAATGAAAAGTGGAAACAAAAGTAAATCCTATAAAACTGTACATGTATTTAATAAATATTATATATGCTATATGTATATTCCTTTTATTCTGTATATATATATATATATATATTTTGCATATAATTGTATACATAATTATAATACAAATAACATAAAATAAAATGAATATAAATATAACATAT